AGGTACTGGATAGAGAGACCGGGATGGTTTTTAATGTGAAGACAACAACAACAAAGCATAAGAAAAAGAGAGCCAGCGCCAAACCCCTGTATGCCCCCTTGCTCTCAGCGGGTGAGTCTTGTATGCAGTGCACGAGTTCCTGGATGGCCCTGTACCCATCCTTCCAAGCTGCTCATCACTCCCGATTTTGGTTGGGGGCTGGAGGTTGGAGGGCTCCCCTTGACAAAGGCGCGTAGCCAGAATGACGCATGCACTCACGTCAATGGGCAAAAAAGTCTGTATCCCCACACGCCCACCTAGCCACATTTTTGACCACCTCTCTCTTCAGAACCTCCGCCGTTCGGTGTTGCTCTCGACCAGCGCAAGGCAGCTCTCTGTACGTTGCGTTGTTGACGATGAAGCCATATGTATAGTCTATGGCAGCATCGGTGCTTACACGGAAACGCTGTGGCTCGCGCCACCCCTCGTCTCACGACGCAAGAAACACAGAAAGCAGAGGGGAAAACAGCTCCAGCCCGTCTGAAGCACAAGTCCGGTGGAAGAGCCTGTTGCTTTTTCGGTTCAATACGCGGCGCAATCGCTGGACAACGACTTCATTACATGGTGAAAAAAAAATAGTGATTTCACCCAAAATCATGGGCACCTGGCATGCTGTGTTTCTTCATGCCCACTGGCAGAAAGGTGGACGGGCACTACACGGCCCTAGGTTTGCTAGAGCTCTATTGCCTCAGTAACCTGGCTTCGCCATCAACGGAGGAGGGAGCAGGTGGCGACGAGCTGAACTAGGCTGGTTGACCATTCGGCGCGAGAATTTTTATTTTTTTCAGACCAAGAACCTTGAGTGCAATGAGGGAGAAAGCGAGGAACGGACTGGGAAGGACAGCAACGAGAGCGTGTACGGACGGAGCAGGTCGAGTGGCGTTTTGCTCGGGCTGACTACAGCGGCGCCGGATGGAGCAATGGCACCGGAGCATGCGGGCGACATCGACCCGTGGCGCACGGACAAACATTTCTATTTGTGCTGTCGATTTTTTTCGTTTTTTTTTTTTCTGACTTTCCGTGTTGGTTTTGTGTGATGACATCGTCACCGGTTTTGTAGAGAGACCCGTAAGAGATGGCGTGGCTAACCCGGGTACATTGGTTTTGTGCCTGATGGTGGAAGACCCCTTCAATGTGGAACGATTCTTAGCTTGTGTCGATATTTTTCACTGCAGTGCCTAACACAGACGATCGGGAGAGATTCGGGTGATTGTCAATTGCTGCTATGATGGCTTTGGTTGGTTGTTCTTTTTCACTGTACGGCCGCAGACACATTCTGACAGCACTACAGACAGCAGCTTTGTGCCCCGCCAGCTGCTTGTTTAATGCCTACCATGGTGTTTGTGTACAGACAGCACTTCAGACAGCAGTATGCTGTAGTCGGCAATCTTCCGTTTTGGTATAGAGTGGGACAGGGAGGGGGTGATGCTACTGTAGTCGAATGGTGGGACGGACGTGCAGTTCAGTTTTTGGGCACGCATACGGTGCTGCAGGGATTTTTAGGTGTACCTCTTCGGGCTCTTGGATACCTTTTCCTCGTTATATGTGTGCGTGTTCCTTAGATCGTCAGATGGCTCTAGCACTTTCGTGACCACGGGCTGAGAGTCTTTGCTAGATTTTGGCATTTGGCAACTGACATACGGTTTAATGTGGAGACAACAACAACAACAACAACTGGCGTATGGCTGCTGGTGTCGCGAGTGCTCTCTCTCTCTCTCTCTCTCTCTCTCTCTCTCTCTCTCTCTCTCTCTGTTGTATCAGCGCAATACTCTAACTCTCACCTTCGATGCTCACGGCTCGCGCCATGCGTTAAGTGCCTGTGCTTGTGCTGCTTCCGTGTGCGAGAAGAAGGAAGTAGTTGAGTTTGATGTTTGCAGTGTGCTCGCGGCCCAACCCGTGGTGTGGTACGAAGCAGGCTCGTGTCAGGGGCTGTTTGGACCTTGTCCCCGTTTTTTTTTTTTGTCTTGACTTCAAATCAGCGCTCACGGCACTGGTGCCGTTTTCTCCAACCCGTGGTCATACAGGAAAGAGAGCGCCAAGGACCCGGAGGTGTGGTACAACAAGGTCGAGGACGGGGCGGCATGGTTCATGAGGAAATGGCACAGACAGGAGGCGGAAGCATCCGCGAAGCGCCAGCGCCAGCGCGCGGAGGAAGCAGAGNAGTAGGGCGGCCGAGGCAGCACTTGTGGCGAACTATGTACCCGGCTGATGTTGTTGCGCCCGGTTTCCCTCCCTGCTGTATGCTATACTCCTTTTTGTAGTCTATGTCCTTTGTATTGCGTTCGGCCTCTCTCTGTGCCGTGTTTCTTTTTTCACTACCTCCCTGCCTACTCTGCTGTGTTGGGCACCTTGATCTCGCTTTGCTGTTGCCTTTGTTTTTGTACGTCTGGCTGTCTGCCAATCTGCCGCCTCTTTGTCCTGTTTGCTCCGTCACTCCCATGCCCTGGTGCGTATACGTCCCGCACCTCTCTGACTGGAGTTTGTGTACACTAGAGTGGGCAAAGTGAGCTTGTTGTCTGCGTAAAGGGCCGTTTTATACATGAAAAAAAAGGATTTGTCTATTTACGCCACCGGTGGCGCAATTTCTTATATGCGCCACCGCTCTTATCTCCGCCCACAGAGCTTCAATTGGCACAAACTAAAAATTGTGGTGTAGCTATGACCCATAGCAATCATACA